CTTGCTGAATTGAAAGCCCACAAACTCGTCAATTTCCTCAAATTTGTTGGAAAGTTCCTCAAAATCCATCGCAAAGAAAAATCAAATTAAAGGCACTATTCATTATGGTTGGTAAATGTAGATCAGTGACATCACCTAACTTAATTATCAGGTAAGTAGCTGTCATCACGGCGCAAGTTTAAATGTTGAGAAATGCCAGAACTATGACGGACTAATGTAAAACAAGCGAGAACTTGACTTTGGGGTATATTTAGCATAGTATATCAGCATGAAAGTTAGCATAGTATAGTAGGATTTTCAATTTTTTGTGTTGCTTTCCTTTAATATATACATGTAACTATTTAGACTTGGCAGGTATACATATAATTTGCATATTATTACATGTTATGAAACCTTAAAAGCCGATTATTCCACAATGTTTGACAACCAGTCTCACTGCTCTTTGGCCATTTTCAATCCTATCCTATCCTCTTTTGTCTTTCTCCTGAATCTGACGGTTGTCAATTGCAGATATGACGGCCACCATGTCTGACTCAAATTCTTGATAAGCCTTTCGAAATATTCCCCACAGGACTCTGAGGTTGTGTCTCTAACAGGTGGGACATGCTGGTCGTCATGTCTGTCACACGGTGGTGGCAGGAATGGTACCGTAAAGCACCGGCATTTTTTTTTTTTTGTTCAGCTGACAACTGCTTCCTAACTACACGTATATCCGACGTCTTTACCGTGTTTGTGTTATGATGATTTATGCGTAGCATTGGAGACATATTGTGTCACAGGTGTTCTGTTTATATGTCGTCCGCCACACGTGGTCTGTTACATATTTGGTCCTTTGACAAATTTGAAATTTTCGCAATCTAACGTTACAAATTAAATGCTATGTGTTGTGGAATGTTCTTCAATGTTGTGTTTTTGATTGATTGATTGATTGATTGATTATGTTTTATTGATTGATTTCGCCATCAAAATTGCCATTTTAACAGTTGTCAGCTTTCCTACCTAAATTCCAACAGGATTTTCTATGAATATATGTGCATATGATAACGTTCAAAAGAGATAAAGAATGAAAAATAAGTTCTGTAGATTGCGAAGGAAGAACGATAAAGAAAACAACATGGTTCAAGATGAGTAGAAAGAATGAATGAGTATGAGTGTGTGCGTGCGTGTGTGTGTGTGTGAGTGCGCCTGTGCGTATGCGTGTAAGATAGATAAAGAGAAAGAGAAATGGAGTGAGTGGAGGGAGGAGAAGGAGGGAGAGAAATTTGGGTTGCTATCCACGAATACGGCTCATGCTCACATTTCGAGCCTCACACAAAACACGACTACTCAGGTTTAGGGGTGCCGTTGGCAGCCTTGTCCTTTCCCCAGAGCTCAAGCGAATAGTTGTCAAAACCTGAAACGAAATAAAAATAAAAATTGAGAAAAGAACCAAACCGTGGTGGATAAACCAATGCTTATCGTGTATGATCAATTGCTAGTATGGGTTAATTGTTGTTTGCTCAGTGGATTCGATCTGTTACCGAATGTTACCAAATGACGGAATGCAGAAAATTGACTATACTAGAGGCATTGAAATCTATGCATTGTACATTACTAGTACCATGTTGACTTACTGAATGAACAGGCATTCTTTGATCAAGACATGCATTATGTACAGTGTAGTATTTACCAAGAGATTTTGTACATGGATATCTTACTCACCGACACGATCCTCAGCCTGCTCCTTGGCGTCACGACCACGTCTCTTCCTCACCAGCAAGACGGCAAATACCACCAGGAGGGCGCCGGCTATACCCGCAACTATCCCCACAGCGATGCCGACAGTGGGGACGGTGGAGGCTGTGGAACGGCACAGAGATATAGTATTTATACTGTCTATTTCCCTCACTTTAAACTAGTGTGCATGCATCTGCACTGGCAGAACTGTATAAGCACTATTATGAACTTAAGCTTATCAAGTTGCAAATGGTAAAATGCAGCAGATCTCGACAAAATGATTCTAGGGACGCGTTCAGAATAGTCCTTGAGATTACGTATCTTCGCAAAAGAATCATGAAAAAGAAATGTTGTAGTGAACTAGAGGCACAGAAAAAACACTGTACGTGATATACAAAATCTACCTTGGTTTTGTCCCCCCTTAACTGCGAAGGGTCCCTGCATGATGTCGGCCTGGTGGTCATTTTCACTCGCACGTCGCACTCGGGCCTCGCTCTCGTCAGACACGGCGCGCCTGCGTCGTGCTGCGGGGACACAGCCCTCACTGCACCGCGAGTTCGTGTCGTCTTTGAAGCAGACTACCATGGTGCAGTGGATGTACACCTGGCGCGGGGTAACGACAACATCTGCATGAATCTTGTGCACCGTCGTGCCTTTCAATGTACCCAAATACCACGAGGTAGCATAGACAAATATTCAGGCACAAAGAAATGTTCCAGAGAGCAATGAAGGAGACATGATATAGAGATGTACAGCTAGAGACGAGAAACTGCCCTCTCTGACATATGATTATTTGCAACCCTTTCAGATGCGAACTGTTTTTGCTGGCTTGGAAGAATTGAACAAAAAGCATTGCGCAGCGTTCAGGACACACATTACACCTATTAAGAGATCACCACCTTATATCTGAAATAAAAGGGAAATCAAATTTGAGCTGACAGTCAACACAGCCCACCATCAAACCAAAGTTTACATGTCTCTTTATTTCATATTTACCAGGCTAGGATCGTCAATGTTGGGGAAGGTAAATGATTGGATAGAGTAGTATAAGGCCATGTCGTTAGACAGTGTACTGTCCAGTTGAAGCGTTGGGTCGATGTCACACCTAGAGGAGAGAAGTGATCATGAATGCCACAGATGATTATTCAATCGCCGCTGTTAAAGAAAGGCAGACTTTGTATTCTACTAGTGGTTTTCAATTGAGAACATGTGAGTTTAACCCGATGTACCCAATGTTGGTACCTGTGATGCAAGGGAAGTATCTGAACAGGACATACCCGTCTTGAATGATGCTAACGCTTGGCGTGGCAGCAGGGGTCGGTAGTCGGTGTGGCCAGGCAGTGGAGAGCGAACAGCTGCAGGTTGTTCAGCGGGGATTTCACGCTCAATCCGAAGTTCAGATGGTCAGATGAGGACACCTAACCATGGAGAAATAAAATAAAACGGTCGTGTTGCGCGTTGGAAGAAGAACCAGTAAGGCGAAACGTGATTATTGTGCCATATTATAATAGTACACCAATATGCATGATAAGCTTAACTGAAACGAAATTTTTTACATTGAAGCTGATTTGTGAACAAAATGAGGCACCCAGCCTAGGCCTGGGCACAACGGGAATTTGGAGCATGGTTTGGACTTGTAAGACATAAGTAGTTAGGAAGGAAGTATCTCACCTGCAACGGGAAGTCGGGTGACTCATATGTAGCAGTAAAGTCACTCGATGTATACATGTGCATCTCGAAGGTGAAACTGGTTTTCCCGTCTACGACTTGCACACTGTACAGATAGACAACCATACGGATTGGTGATAAGAAGAGAATGAATGTATCTTGATTCTATTCAAGGAATTTGTATCTCATCAGTAGAAAATCCAGCACTAACATGGATTATTTGTTTATGAGCGATGCCTTGAGTTTTTAGGAGCCGAACTTTACTGACACTGTAATGTTGATGATGATTGTAACAAATCAGCCCTAGTGCATGTGCAGTTGTGTATGTAGTGACATGTATGGCAAGTCTTACCGAGGAAGTGGAATGTTGTACATGATCTGCCTTCCCTGTGAGACCACGTACTGACGGACGAACTCACACTGGAACCTCTTACTGAAGGGCGTTCCTCTCACAGCGCCGTTATCAGCCGTTTCCTGACTGCCGATGGCCTCGTTAGTGAAGATGAATTTGTCATCTTCTGACGACTGTGAAAATAAGGGAAATGCGACGAAACTTAATGAATAATACATAAACAGTAGGTATATGTTACGAAATGCCATTCTCCCAATTTGTAGGCATTGATAGTAACTTGATAGGCACTTGTATAGCAATCCCGCTCACCCCATGTATTTTTGTTCTGCCTGTGACCATCATGTATTTTGTTCTACTTACATCCTGTATCGTCCCGCAGGATTGAAGGGGGGCCACAAGAGTCACAAACTGGTCGGTAACTGTCGAACGGCAGCTGTCGTCCAACAAGTGCAAGTCCAACGTGACCCCTGCAGCTTCTAGCACTGCTCTGGGGAAGGCCACGGTCATGTAGTCCTCATAGCACTCCACATTCACGATAACCTCAGCTGAAAACGTTATCCGTGCAGAGTGAGCAGAGTCTTTTCTATACATGCATTCATAATGACTATATCATACATAGTCAAATCCATGTCAACAACACAGTGAAGTATTTACTGAATTTCCTTTTATTGGGACGAAGGAAGCTGTAGACTTTCTTTCGTCATGCGTTGGCAGACCTAAGCTTGTTCTCCATCCACGCCATATTGTATCGACTAACCTGTTGTCTCTGTCCCGGTGATCTCTCCTATTTGCTCGCCGTCAGCTCCAAACGCAGTCAGGGTGAAGGTGTACTCTGTGTCTGCCAACAGTCCGGCTACGGTGGCCGTGGTGTCGCTCGGTGCTGGCGGGGGAGACAGGTCCTGGTACGAAGCCCCGGCATGACTATAACGGAGTCGGTACCGTGACACCCCGGCGGGCGCCGTCCAGGACAGGATCATGTAGTCCATCTCCACATCGGTGAAGGTCAGGTCAGACAAACCTGTAAAGGAAATTACAAAGTAGGTGTCTCCTTAGGCAGCGCATGTATGTGCATACTAGCAACACATGATCTGTATGTGCAACAAACACTGAGTGAGAATTTTAACAGTTTCAAACTTTTTTGTGGCCCACCAGTCACAGCATGTTTGGTGGAACTCTGTGTAGACCCAGGATTTTGCTACGTGCTTCGTCTGTGTATATATTAGGCAAATAGAAGAGTGTATTTTTACATGTACGAAGTAGAGGGGTATTCCGTACCCGTGCAGGTGACTCCGTCCCCGTTGTAACCGCTGTTACAGGCACAGGTGAACCCACCGTCTGTGTTAGTACAGGTTGCTTGCTGGTGGCAGTTGTCTGAGTCATCTGTACATTCATCGACATCTGTGGATACAAAGAATCCAAATTACTAGTGCTAAACAAACCTATGCAATTGTGAATTTGTGCTTTGAAATAAAATGGCGACAGTGCTAAACAAAACCTATGAGAGGGTTGTGTTGTGAAATAAAACAGTGTTAACCCAAATCATTAAGTGAAAACTCAATGTTTACTGAAGATGTGTAACCAAACTCAATGATCTTACCGGTACAGGTGACTCCGTCCCCGCTGTAACCGCTGTTACAGGTACAGGTGAACCCACCGTCTGTGTTAGCACAGGTTGCTTGCTCCTGGCAGTTGTCTGAGTCATCTGCACATTCATCGACATCTGTGGATACAAAGAATCCAAATTAACAAAGCTAAACAAACATATGCAATTGAGAATTTGTGCTGTGAAATGAAACGGCAATCGCGCTCCACAAACTTATGAGACCTTGTGAAATGGATCTCAGTGAAGTTAATCCAAATCGTTAAAAACGTTTTACTGATGTACAACCAAATCGTATGATCTTACCGGTACAGGTGACTCCATTCCCGCTGTAGCCACTGTTACAGGTACAGGTGAACCCACCGTCTGTGTTAGCACATGTTGCTTGCTCGTGGCAGTTGTCTGAGCCTTCTGCACATTCATCGACATCTGTGGATACAAAGAATCCAAATTCATTTGTGTAATCATTTAGAATAATTCAGTTGTATTAATTTCCATAATGGTTCCCGGTCCTGCAAAATTTATTTTGTATTTAGTGACCTTTGTTAAACCATGTATTAGTTTTCTTTGCAATATCTTTGTTTCCGTTAATTCATTTTCAATTGCTATAATGATATTCATTTATTTGTATTCGTTTTGCTAGCTATACCTTTCTTTTCCGTTAATTCCTTTTCAATCATCATATTAATTTCATGACTATCATTTGTTAATTAAGTTATGAAGGAGGCGGGCCCTGTACAAACCCTGATGGCTTCCTACCCCTTACTGCACATTGGTTTTCTTTAATGTAATTGTATTTATTCTATTTATTTCATTATATGTGCGAATAAACAAACACAAACCAAATCGAAGCTAAGTGCAACAGAAACCTTTAACAATGTTATATATTTCATGACTTACCGCGTTGCAGTTGGCACATGAACGACTCCGACCGAGAGCACGACATGTCGCCCCATGTAGCAGCTTCTCCTTGGTGGTAGAATGAGCAGTCATCGTCTGTGTTCACGCCATTGGGTTCTCCCGGATACCAGCGGTTGTAGTCAGCAGTTGTGTCATGTGGAGTTCCATCTTCCCACATCCACACGCCCTCAGTGGCCAGGTCGTTCAGACCGATCCAGTAATGAGAATTTGGATTCCTCAGAGTGTTCAACAAGAAGTTGTCCACGTTGCTGTCCCGCGGCATGGCCAAAAGACCGCCGTCGTTTGCACACCACTGTCTGGCCTCGCTGTAGGGTTTCTTCTCCCAGAAAGCCTTAAAGCACGACCCCCCGTGTGGAGTGTATGCAGGAGGGCAATCTGTTGAAATTGTGATAGCTCCTAAGGTAGGTAGTGTTACGCCTCAACAGTGTACAATACGAATGAGTAAAGAGACTCTTTTTTCACGACCTAGTCATTTATTCAGCCGACGTTTCGGTGACCGTCTGTCACCGTCATCAGGGCAATTCTGACTGGTTCACATTGCACTGCAGCACATGCATTCCCAAAGGTGAAAAAAAAGTACAATACGAATTTGTACTAGGAATCATACAATCTCCCACGAATACAAAATGTTTTCCACACTCGAAGGAAGCAAATGGGTAGGGCGTGAAAATCATCGTCGTTACGTCACGGAGAACATCAGTAACTAATGAACAAAGAATAGATGGAATGTAAAAGAGAGCAACTTACTAAATTGACAGTTGTGTCCCGACCAGCCCTCCGGACATGCACACCTGTAGGACATGACGCCGATCTCGGTGCACACGCCACCATTCTCACAAGGGTTGGGGTTGCAATGATCTGTGCCAACAAATACAGCATGGAAAAGTAGGCTTATCATATTGGCAAAATCTATCTACGCTGGAAATGTTACACATTCTTGTGATTGTTGTAAGTCATAGTCACACAGCGTAAGAAATGTAACTTTCAAAGAAACAAAGTAGAGCAATTATCTCGGAGACGGTACTTGAAAGAAAACAAACAATTCACGAATGCCGTAAAGTTATCACACCTGGATTCACAACGTCGAGTTCCACTTGGCAGATGAACGCTTCTGACCTAGCGCACGACATGTCGGTCCATTCAGCAGCTTCTCCATAGTGGTAGTGTGCGCAGTCCTCGTCATGGCCCAAGTGGTTGGGTTCATTAGGAAGCCAGCGGCCGAAGTCACCGGTTCTGTTAAATGGAGTTCCATCTTCCCAAATCCACGTGCGCTCACTTTCCTGGTCGTTCAGACCGATCCAGTAATGAGAATTTGGATTCCTCAGAGTGTTCACCAAGAAGTTGTCCACGTCGCTGTCCTTCGGCATGGCCAAAAGACCGCCGTCGTTTGCACACCACTGCCTGGCCTCGTCATAGGGTTTCTTTTCCCAGAATGCCTTAAAGCACGAAGCTCCAAATGGAGTGTATGCAGGAGCGCAATCTGTTGAAATTGCGATAATTCTAATCAACAGTGTACAAAACGAATTTGTACTGGGAATCATACAATCTCCCACGAATACAAAATGTTGACAAGAGCACGATTTAGGCAATCGAAGGAAGCAATGAGTAGGACGGGATTTTTTATAATAAAAAAAACGTTATGTCGCGGGGAACATGTCAATAATTGAACAAAGATGGAAGGATGGAACGCAAAAGAGAGCAACTTACGAAATTGACAGTTGTGTCCTGACCAGCCATCCGGACATGCACACCTGTAGGACATGACGCCGATCTCGGTGCACACGCCACCATTCTCACAAGGGTTGGGGTTGCAATGATCTGTGCCAACAAATACAGCATGGAAAAGTAGGCTTATCATATTGGCAAAATCTATCTACGCTGGAAATGTTACACATTCTTGTGATTGTTGTAAGTCATAGTCACACAGCGTAAGAAATGTAACTTTCAAAGAAACAAAGTTGAGCAATGATATCTCGGAGACGGTTCTTGAAAAAAAAAACAATTCACGAATGCCGTAAATTTGTCACACCTGGATTCACAACATTTAGGTCCACTTGGCAGATGAACAATTCCGACCGAGAGCACGACATGTCGGTCCATGAAGCAGCTTCTCCATAGTGGTAGAATGAGCAGTCATCGTCATGGTTCACGTGGTTGGGTTCATTAGGGTGCCAGCGGCCGAAGTCACCGGTTCTGTTATGTGGAGTTCCATCTTCCCAAATCCACGTGCGCTCACTTTCCTGGTCGTTCAGACCGATCCAGTAATGCGCACTTGGATTCCTCAGAGTGTTCACCAAGAAGTTGTCCACGTCGCTGTCCTTCGGCATAGCCAAAAGACCGCCGTCGTCTGCACACACCTGCCTGGCCTCGTCATAGGGTTTCCTTTCTCCATACGCTTTGAAGCAGAATCCTCCGTAGGCAGTGTAATCAGAGGGGCAATCTGTTGAAATTGGGATATGCATATATACATCTTTGAACAATTTTCATCCTTGATAATTTGGAATGATTTGAGCAGTCCTCCATCATGAAAAGTGAAGTTTCGTCGTAATGCAGTCCCTCTGAGCTGATATTTACATTTCGGCGAATTTGAAATTCCGATAGGCACGAATCTTGGATAATTTTGCCTTATGGTTGAGCTACATACGCTGCAATAAACTGTAATAACTATATAAACCAAATAGTATGAAATGATTGTGGGGAAAATTACCTTGACCAGTCACACCAGTGCCCATAAGGATGAGAACTAGCAGCCATGCTGGTATCGACACCCGGGTGTTCATTATGTATCCAGGTTAGCTCGCCTGGAATAAAAAGTCATAAGGAGTGGAAATGATTACCTGAAACACTTGTCACAATTCGTTCTACCCGTGTAATCAATTGCATACTCCAGTGTGAGAAACAGGCGATGAGGGCAACGGTTATATTTCTGTGTATACATGTTTTAACGGAAGCAGTTAGCATGCACTACACAGTACATGGATTTTGTTTGAAAGAAACGTTAATTCGAAAGTCAAGGACGGTTACAAATCACTGAAAAGTTCTAACGATTCAGTCTTGAGATGAAATGCCCCACGTGCACAATCGCTAATTCTTTCATTACCCACATAAGGTTCACAATGCCTCGCGTTACAAGAAAGTTCATGATCTGTGTAGTCTTAAACGTAGTTAATCTTCAAACCGCTATAATAGCGCGGTGTGCCGGCCTGGTAATAGGTGACCTTCTCTAACGCACGTGCAGTTACCTGCAAGGCTTCTAGAACTAATGCAGCTTGACGGGTTAAGAGGTTAATACTATGCATCAGTTCAAGGATCTGCCTCGTTGCTTTTCAAAGTAACAGCCCTAAGGCCCCAGGATCCGAAAATAAACGGGCACGAGTACACTGCTGACACGCGCACACACACGTGTGGCACACGCGAAGTTTAAAAAAATCGTAACACAACAGAATTCTGTCGACATCGTGACGTAGCCCTAGTATGTACCTAAGAATTCTAAAACACTGGGAGGTACCTGAGAATTACTAAAAAATACGTGGGGGGGGGGGGGTACTTAAGAAGTCTAAAAACTGGGAGG